GTAAGTATAGCTGTTAACTAATCTGGACTTATTCTTATTTCTGAACTCTAAATTCTTTTTCTGAAAAAAATCATCACTTGTTGATGTCAGCAGATTTTGGATTTATTCTTTTCCTTTTTCTCCCAGAACTTTTCTTTTCAAAAAAAGTCACTTCCTTGTAGAGCAGAAAACGTAGTTGGCCGGTTCGAGACAAAAGCACGTCTGACCGTCATTCCACAAGAAAAACCCAAGAAAGCTCCACGATTTTCCGAGTTACTTAGCGACAAAACGGAAGTCGAGGGAAACACTGTTGTATTCGAGGTGGGTGTTCGTTCCGTTGTTGTTTTTATTGCTAGGGGGCTGTCACAAATGAGAAGGCACTTATCTTTTACAACACCTGACGGTGATATGATTAATAGTGCGAGGGGAATGTGTTGTTTGTTTAGGCTCGAGTAGAAGCCGAACCGAAGCCCGATATTAAATGGTTCCTCAAAGGAGTGGAGCTAAGTGCATCTGAGGTGAGAAAAGTTACGGTAGAATTTCGGATCGATAAGCATATTTTCCGTTGCAGCACGTAGAAATTCGCGAATTTGACGGATCCGTGAAGCTAGAACTACGAGGAATTAAGCTGGATGAAGCTGGCGAAGTGAAATGTGTTGCGACGAATTCTGAAGGTTCAGCGGAGACATCTAGTAAATTAATAGTAAATCGTAAACCATTCCCACCCACATTCGACAAACAACCCCAAAGTGTTACGGTTGAGAGGTACGGTATCTTACAGTACTCCATGGTGTAGAATTAGTAGATTTCTATCGCTTTCAGAGGATCCGAAGCAAGATTCGAGGCGCATGCAGAGTCAAGTCCAGCTCCTACGTATCAATGGTCAATTGATGGTAGGAAGGTGAGTAACATTACTTTTTTGGGAACAATTCGATAATCGATTTATTGATTGATTCCCTTTGCAGGTACGCGAGAGCACCGAAGGCGCACGTGTAGAAATGATCGACGGTAACTCCGTGCTGTTTGTGAATACGTCAGTACATCCTGTAACGTCGACGATTTCTGTTATCGCCGAGAACAGTCTCGGAGCGGACGAGACCGGCGCTCGCCTCATTGTGGAGGAGAAGAAGGTGGGCGTGGTTTCCCCTCACGTACAAAAATTCCACGGACTGATTCATTTTTTCATTTTTATTTTTTTCATTTTTTTGAGCATTTTCATACATTTTCTTTCTTGACTATACTATCAGTTATGTCACTAAGACAATTACAAAGAATTTGATAATGTAGATAATTATAAAGTGAACGCTTCCTCTCTATCCTTGAAAAGAATCACGAGATCAGAACGATCGAATCCTGAGAAAGTCAATAATGAGCATCGATTGATCAATAATGTTAACAGATCTCGAAGAGAAGAAGGTGGAAGTGTCTCAACCTGAGACTACTACCGCCCCTGTCCAAGAAGGCAGTATTGAAATCTCACAGGTACAATATAGCGATGATTACGCCCCTAATTTCTATGTGTGCCAATTTTCGTTTCTGCAATTGCGGACATGCTGACTAGCTTATTAATCGATGCTTCGCTTCTGTTTTCTAATAATTTGGGTTTTTCTCGCTTCTGTCATAACAACCGTTGCTCCTTGGAGATCAACGGATTAGCTTTCACAATGCATGTGCTTCTACCGTACTACTACCGTAATCGGTGAATG